CCGGAATAAGCTGCGAACTGTCTACACTGGCCCTTGAATTTCCGGAAAAGCAATGATGCTCTACTGTACAAAATCAGCCGCTATTCCGGAAAAACTATTCTGCTCCCGCTCCGGCATAAGTCCTTATTCCGGAACACTGTTCCGGAAAAGGGCCAGTGTAGACAGCCCAGTAGTCTTTTCTGGAAAAAAGCCCCGATCGCGAAAATGGTGATTGGGGCTCTTTTCACTGGCCCTTGAATTTCCGGAAAAGCAATGATGCTCTACTGTACAAAATCAGCCGCTATTCCGGAAAAACTATTCTGCTCCCGCTCCGGCATAAGTCCTTATTCCGGAACACTGTTCCGGAAAAGGGCCAGTGTAGACAGCCCAGTAGTCTTTTCTGGAAAAAAGCCCCGATCGCGAAAATGGTGATTGGGGCTCTTTTCCGGAAAAGCGCGTCTACATTGGCCACAGACGCTTTTCCGGAAAAAGGGCTTTTCCGGAAAAGCAGCCTGCCAATGTAGATGCTCCTTTTCCGGAAAAACTGCAAAGGGAATAGTATTCCGTTTTAAGCAGTTCTGGAAATTCATGCCAGTGTAGACACAGCTGAACAGTTTGGCTAAAAGCAAAACAGCATTTACAGCAGACAGTTAACAGAAGGTCTCTGGCCTCCCGGGTTCTCCTGGCTCCATAGCATTGCTTGTGATCCCTGGTGGAGGGGTAACAACAGCGCTACCTGCTGCAGAGTGAGGAGCAGCAGCCAGTTCTCTGCTCCCGGCTCAGTTTCTTTCAGCTCACCCAGGCCTTAGAAAAGCACCAGCTCGGCCTGCTTGCTCTGACCCCAGACTGTACTACCCGCAGACCCATTGACGTCAGTTCTGCTGAGATTAATAAAATGCAATAGTTACAATGCAGAAGCTTCTGGGGGGAGCGCTGAATCATCCCAGCAACACTCAACTGACGCCTACCTCCCGCACAGGGGTCTCTGAAAGAGCTCGCTCCCTATGACGTTCATGAGTTACACCAGGGCTGCATGACTGGCAGGATTTTGCAGAAATACTTTGAATGGAAAAGTTTTTCCATTTAAAGTATTTCCGCAAAAGCGCATCTAGATTGGCAGGTTGCTTTTGTGCAAAAAGTGCTTTTGTGCAAAAGCATCCGTGGCCAGTCTAGACGCGATTTTGCGCAAGAAAGCCCCAATCGCCATTTTAGCCATCGGGGCTTTTTTGCGCAAAACAGTTCTTCCCTGTCTACAGTGGCCCTCTTGCGCAAGAGGGCTTTTCCCCGAGCGGGAGCGTGAAAGTATTTGCGCAAGAAGCACGGATTTTGTACATTACAAGGTCAGTGCTCTTGCGCAAATTCACGTGGCCAGTGTAGACAGTTGGCAAGTTGTTGCGCAAAAGCGGCCGCTTTTGTGCAAAATCTTGCCAGTCTAGACGCACCCCAGGGCTATTCAGCACGCGTCCCACGCAGCCTATGGCCTGTTTGTTTGCGGGCCACGGTGCAGTTTTATGTGGGGCTCAACACGTGGCCTGTGGGTGGGATCCTTTGAACACGGCCTCCACTGGGAACACGCTCCACAACGGCGAGTCAAGATACTGGACTTCTGCTGCGATGCGGTTTAGTCGTTACATTCCTGGACTGTCATTGCTCATGAAAAGTGCTGGCATATGGGTGAAAATCCGGTAACTATTGCATTGTATCAGCAGAACCGACTTAAACAGGGCCTGCGTGTTGTGTAGTCTTGCCTTAATCTTTGCATTCATGCCCATCAGTGTGAAATAAGCTATTTGCATATACATGCAACCACACTTAAGTTGTGGCCCTTGGCAAGTGCTGTGGGTATCCAAGGTTGAGTAGCCCTGGGTTACACTGTCACTGAGTGGGCCTAGCTGGGGGGCTCACTGTAGAGGAGCAGCTGGTGAGAGCAGGACCTGAGACCCCTGTGTGAGGGAGCCTGGCCGGCAGTGCACGCGATGGGAGCAGAGCTGAGAGAGACCAGAGTGGGGGTTGAGAAACATGGAACTGGGTGGGCTGACTCCACTGTGCTGTTCCTGGGCATTGACACCCAGCCATGGGGCAGAACAAGGGCACAGATCAGCCCAGAGCCCCCCCCTGCCTGTCTCTGGTGTGGACAGGAGGGGTTACCCCAGGACTCCCCCATCCCTGGCTGCTCAGGGACAAATAGAACCAGCCTCAGACCCCGCTCTATGGGGCTCCCAGGTCGGGCGTGTTTGTGAGCCCTGTAGACCCACTGGCTGTTGCAGCTCCATGCCCTGGGTAGGGATGTTCGCGAGCAGCCGACTCCTCGCCCCCCACCCCCTGCTCGCTGCCTCTGTGAGACTGGCCGCTGCAAACTGGACTCAGTGAGCTGGGACCGAGCAGTCCCGGTTCGCACTGGGCTGGGACACTGCGCCTCTGCATTTGAGATGTAGTAAGAGCGCAGCGGTTCTTGCTACATTTGCAATGCAGAACTGCAGCACACGTGGCTCCCGGAACCGGTACCAGCCAGGACTGCTCGGTTCTGGCCCGGCTGCCGAGCGCCCCTTAGGGACTAATCGTAGCCATTACAAAGTGCATCGACTACGAGTAGCCAGATACCCACAATTTAACATCCTCAGCCCGGGGGCCCATCTGGCCCTGGAGCCAGACCCCCCGCAGCTTGTGGGCGCTAGGGATGTAAAATCCCATTGAATCAGCAGGCGGGGGCTGCTCCAGCTGGCAGGGCAGGACTCACCATGGGGGGCTGCTGTGGGTGGGGCTCTTTCAGCCCAGCCAGGACAGCGGTTAACCGTTGCCATCTCGACTCTCAGCACCTCCTGTGGCCGCATGTCAACCGTCACCTGGCGCTGGCTCCGCAGGGACACAAGGGCCATGGGGGTGGAGTGTGAGGAGTCCAGCCAGGGCCTGGCAGCTACCAAGCTACACAGCCTTACCCACCCGAGCAGCTTCCATCTGGGGTGGTGCTGGCGCTCAGTGCCACCAGGACCCCCAGAATCGAGGCCACGGGCTTGCGTCTGGCGTCAGGGCGGGCAGTGGCTGGAGCTGAGGTCCAGGCAGAATCCGCCCACTGTGGCCGTGCAGGGTGGGGGGGGAATGGGGTGAGTGTGTGTAGTAGGTGAGCTCGATGGGGGGCAGGCTGTGCCCTCGGCAGGCCCAGTCCCTCATGGGGGTTCTCTCTGCCAGTCATCTCCGTGGTGCGGCTGGACAAGGTGAACTTCGCAGGGGCCAAGCTGCCCCATTACGAAGCGCTGCGGGGCGAGAAGCCTGTGGACCTGGAAACCACCGTTATCCTGCCCGAAACCGTCTTCCAGGCCCCCCGGGACAAACGTGAGTCAATGGCAGTGCCCGCCCTAGGCTAGCAGGGGCTGTGGGTTGGGGACGAGGGGCACTGGCAGTGGGGCGGGGGAATGCTGGGCTAGCAGGGGCTGTGGGTTGGGGCTGAGGGGCACTGGCAGTGGGGCGGGGGAATGCTAGGCTAGTAGGGGCTGTGGGTGGGGGACGGGGGGCACTGGCCGGGGGGCTGGGGGCG